AGAAGATGGGGGCGCCTGGGTGAGTTAAGCATCTGACTTCCGCTCAGGTCACGATCTCGCGGTTCGTGAGTTCAAGTCCCACTTCTGGGAACACGAGCCCCACTTCGGGTAAAACATGAGTCCCATTATTTTGGGGTGAGCCCTGCTTCTCTCTCTCTCTCTCTCTCTCTCTCTCTCTTTCTCTCTCCCTCCCTCACGGGATTTTCTCTCTCTCTCTGCCCCTCACTCACTTGTACTCCCCCCCCCAAAAAAAGAAAAAAAATGGGATGCCTAGGTGGCTCAGTCTGTTGAGCATCTGGCCCTTGATATAGGCTCAGGTTGTGATCTCGCAGTTGTGGGATCGAGCCCCACGTTGGGCTCTGCGCTGAGCATGGAGTCTGCTCGGAATTCTCTCTCTCCCTCTCTCTCCGTCCCTCCCCTGCTGGAGTGCTCTCTCTGTCTCTGTCTCTCTCAAAATAAATTAATTAATTTTAAAAAAGAGAGAGAAAACAAGACAGTTTTTTTTTTCCTTTTCAGATTAACTAATCTTAGGGAACAGTATTGAAGGGTCCATTTATTTGTACAATCAATCTCAAGCCTTTCTTTCTGATGGCTCATTTTGTCACATGCTGGAATTTGGAAATTTCTTAACAAATTCTGTCTGGAAGGCAAATAAAAAAAGCATAGGGTTGGTTTTTTTATTTTCAAGGTTGACCTAGGCCCATTTAGCTTTTATGTAACATGAAGGAAAGTTCCAGAAGTGGTTGAATTGTAAAGAAGACTAGCAATGAGGAGAAATGGAGGCAGAGCATAGTTATCTGTTTTGCATTCTTTCTCCAACAAGGTCTCCTTGAGAGTATGTTGTCTTTACTGCTGGAAGACTAATGGGGCCCCACTGCTGGGCATCAGACCTGAGAAGCTCTGAGGTCAGTGATGACAAGAAGGAGAGAGCAAGAAAGCCTTTTCCCCCAACGAGGAGGAGAAAAGGTGAGTTCTCGCTGCCGGGATCGAGCAGATCAGAAGCCCAGATACCTTCCTACCACCTCAGACCACCCAAGAGGTGAGTGCCAAGCCCAGAGGAAGCAGGAACGTCACCCTTACAGCCTCCTGGGGGCTGGGACCTTCTGTCAAACAATGGCCACCCGAGGGTAAGGAGGACCATGCTGGAGTTACTGGCGGTAATATACAAATATACTGCAGCACATACAACTACGGAGGCATTACGCTACGCACCCGAAACTAATATAATGTTACGTCAATTATTCTTCAATAGATGTATACATATATGCAGTGTAGGCACCCCAAAATACACCCCGGGCATAATGATTATTCTGAGCTGAAGGCAACAGAGAAGAAGCAGATACAAGGAAAGTTCTCTGCCTTCCTCCCAGTTACTTAAAAGCATGATATAACTTTGTGAAGGGCTTCCCCTCCCCTCTCTGCCAAGAAGGACAAAAGTTACCCTTGCCAGCCCAGAGAAGGCACCAAAGGAAGAGATATAATAACATTTACTCAGCAGCCCTTGCCTTCCATTAGCTCCCCCATATATCTGCCTTCCACAGTTTGCCACCCTAAGAAATCAAAGTCCTTCTGCTGTGTCTGATAGCTCCTCTGAAAATATGTGGTCCTTTTGTCAAGACGGTGTAAGTGTCCCAGTTCTGATCACCCCTTTGAGTTACTCAGCACTGGGTGCTCCCGTGTGTGCTTTGATTAAGAGACACTTATCATGATGAGCACTGAATGAGGTATAGAATTACTGAGTCACTATATTGTACACCTGAAACTAATATGACACTGTGTGGTAACTACATTGGAATTTAAATGTTTTTAAAAAGTATAGGACCAGGGAATGAATGGGGAAAACTGGTCGGCTCTCGTCCTGTTCTCATTCGGTGGTTTGCTTTCTTTACGCCTTAGGAAACGTAGAAGGAAACTGGCACAAGGCCAAAGCGACTGGCACCTACAGGACAGATGAGGACATCGTGTCTACACATTTGAGGAATTACTTCAGAGCTTCTCACCCTCTCTAAAATCAGAGGTGGGAGAGTCTCACAGAGAGACTGCCTCAGAACACCAGAGGATAAGACTAAGTTAGGTTGTTGTCTTTTCCATTCACCTGTAATTCCCACGTGCAACTACAGTTCCAGCTTCCGGAAAACAAGCTAAGCCTTCTTCTCATCTAAAAGCACCCACTTCTAGGGGCGCCTGGGTGGCTCAGTAGGTTGAGCGTCGTCCAACTTCCGCTCAGGTCATGATCTCACGGTCCATGGGTTCGAACCCTGCATCGGGCTCTGCGCTGACAGCTCAGAGCCTGGAGCCTGCTTCGGATTCGGGGTCTCCCTCTCTCTCTACCCCTCCGCCCTCTTTGTTTCTCTCTCTCTCAAAAATAAATACACATTAAAAAATATTTCCAAGGACCCACTTCTCTTCAGGCTCTCTGACCCACTACTCTGGGGCATCATCGCTCAGTCAACTGAAAAGGCAAATGGCTAAAGCCAGCAGTCAAACCAGAGTCCCTTCAGCAGAGCTCAGTAAGAGCACGCTCACACCAGATGAGTACCTCCCAGGGTCGAGGCTGCTGGCGAGTAAGGAGAAAGCAGAATACACACCTCTTTTCTGGAAACAGCATCCTTGGCACAGCGACACTATGGAAGATCTAACACTTACTCCTCATAGGAACCTGCTACTCAAGCTAGTTTTACCACTGCCTTCACTATCCTCAGTGGTGGCTACGTTTACCTTAAAAACAAACCACAAAAACCAAGTCGGTATCAATGGGGAATCCTGCAAATTGAGAAACTCTTTGCCAAAAGGGTGGGCAACTCTCTTCTCTCTGAAAACGGTGAACCTCCCAGGTGCTCATGTGTTTCATACTGCTGTTACTAGAGTTAGTGAACAAGTGTGCGCAGTCAGACGGAAGGGCCTAGAATCTACGTCCACCTGTGATATGGAGTCGCATGGCCATCACGTCTCTTTCAACACTACCTTAGACTGTCTTGGATTCGATACTAATTATGAGCTTTGAATAGTTACCTATGAGCGTCTAGGCATGTTAGGAATTTTCAGAGGTGCGTGTGTATGTGTGTGTTTGCACATGGGGTGTCGGATTTGTCTTTAAATATCATAGTACATCCCAAGTTGCTTTGTCCTCCATACATCTGAAAAGTGAAACATTTATTCCACTTCTGGGGATATTTTCATTGACCCTGAAGGGGCCCAGGGTAAGTCTCCCCCAGAGTATGCCACTTTGGCACGTGAAGTCTTATTTTGAGCTAGAGGCAGTCAAGATCCAGTAGACTCAAGAGAAACAATATATGTGGTGTTCACATACATACAAAATCGAATTTGATTTTCTCCTGTTAATCTGTCTCATGCCAATTTAGTTCTTAGACCAACCAGAAGAAATTTTGTAGAGGGAAAACTTTTCCCCCAACAATGCTTATAAATAATTCTTCATATCTTGCCTTGACTCAACTACTGGCCAGATCAACACCCGATAAACAAACAATATGCACCGCACAGGAAGAAGACTTTTTTTTTTTTAACGTACTTGGTCTCAGGACCATGATCACAACCTGGCTGCTTAAAGTGTGGTCCAGGGACCAACAATACAAGCATCAAGGAATTGAAATGCATAATCTTCACCTCCACCCAAACCTACAGAACCACAATCTGCATTGAAACCAGAGCTTGGGTGATCGGTCCTCACATTAAAATTTGAAAAGCACTAGCCTAGAGCAGTGTTTCTCCCAAGGGAGGTAAATTGCTCCTCTCCCTGAGAATCACTGGGTTGCCCCCCTAAAAAAGTAAGTTTCTCCATTCTACCACAGTGAGTGACGCAATTTCTCAAACTTTAGATTGCCTGAATCTAAAGCTTAAACTAATCAACGAGTACATTTACTATAAAGACACACACACACACACACACACACACACACGGCATTGGAAAAAGTTGCAAACGCAGAGAAACTGCCTTTAGTAGATGAAACACCTGAGAAGCTTCTGTTGAGCATTTGTAATGAAATGCAGAACAACTGGTTAATTGTGTTAGAGAGGAAAGGGAGTAAATTGTGAATAATGACATCATTACTCTAGTTCATACATTACGTGTACTCCTTTGAAACATTATTTAAAAATTTATTTGATTCTAATAGGTTACTTTCAATACAGGGGAAAGAAAGTGTTTTTGTATCCATCAGATATGAAAAGAAAAAACTCAAAGTGCCAAAAAATATATCTTCTGCATTTGTCCCTCTTTTATACAGGGATAATCTTTCCTTATAATCGCTGGTAGTGATTTTCTTTTCAAATACCAAGTTGAAAAATGTCAGTCCGGGGGCGCCTGGGTGGCACAGTCGGTTAAGCGTCCGACTTCAGCCAGATCACGATCTCGCGGTCCGTGAGTTCGAGCCCCGCGTCAGGCTCGCGTCAGGCTCTGGGCTGATGGCTCAGAGCCTGGAGCCTGTTTCTGATTCTGTGTCTCCCTCTCTCTCTGCCCCTCCCCCATTCATGCTCTGTCTCTCTCTGTCCCAAAAATAAATAAACGTTGAAAAAAAAAATTAAAAAAAAGAAAAAAAAGAAAAGAAAAATGTCAGTCTGTCCCTGCTTTTCCACAGAAGAGTCAGTCTACTTTTGTATGTTTAGAAAATCCAGTGGGGCGCAATTTTCACTTTTCCTCTGGATGTTTGACATCAGAAAACATGACTCTGTTAATTCCATTTTCCTAAGTCCCTGCAAGATCCAAATTACCCCCACAAACATCATCTAGACATCGGGACATATATATTCTGTATAACTCTCTACTTACACCTAGCTCGAGTTGTAGAATTACAAAATGATTTACCTCATAATATTAAGTGTATTAAAAAGATTAACGCCCAAGACTTCGTTTTGACCTCACACTCTCAAGGAAAGCTATGCAGAAGAAAAGGAGACATTTTCACAGGAACGGGAAATTACACTTGAAAAGCAAGAGCAATTTTTAACACCTTTGGAATCTTACTTCCAGAAAGGTCACATACCTCAGAGTATAGGATTCCCATGCTGGCCCTCCACAGATTTGCGTCACCCCTACAGCTTCTTGAATCTTCCGGAGGTATTTCTGATTCACATAAAATCCGTCCCGGCCCAGAGAAAGGTCTCTAGAAGTCAAGGCTGGTGGCCAGTCCTTTCTTCCCACACTTGTGAACGTTCTACTGGCAATTCAGTCAGCCGCACACCTTCTAGAGAACCCAGCCCAGGGAAACACAGGCATTGGTTTATAGCGTAATGACCCCAGCGTGTCTCATCTGATGTTACAACCCTGGGGAACCGGTTTCTGAGTCATATTTGCTCTTCCAGTACTGACATGTGGGAAGACGGGAGCAAAGTCAAGAGTGAAAGGGAAGTTCTCACCCCAACAGGAAGGACTCAGGGCTCAACATGGGGTACTGTGGGAAAAAAGTAGGATACTGTGTTTAGGACATTAACTGAAATCTGGTTTTCAGTGGCTATTGAGAAAGGCTAGGGATGGCCAAACTCACTTGTTAGAACACATATGACTGCCACGGGCTTGACTTTGATGAAAAATAATCTTCAAGAACTGTCACCATGGATTATTTGCGATCTTTCAGCACAGATAAGGTTAATTTTTTTTCTTTGATGTTCCGGATTAATATAAACAAATTAAAATAATAAGTCAAGTGACAGATGAAGGTCAATTTTTAAGCCATATTATTTTACATACATGAATGTGTTCACTTCCTTTTTTTTTTAATTTTTTATATTTATGTATTTTTGAGAGACAGAGTGAGACAAAGTGAGACAAAGTGAGACCGGGGGAGGGGCAGAGAGAGGGAGACACAGGATTAGAAACAGGCTCCAGGCTCTGAGCTGTCAGCACGGAGCCCGACGCGGGGCTCGAACCCACAGACTGGGGCTCGAACCCACAGACTGTGAGATCATGACCTGAGCCGAACTCGGACGCTCAACCGACTGAGCCACCCAGGAGCCCCGAATGTGTTCACTTTCAAAGGCATATCTTTGAGTAAAGCTTGAGCAACTCAAATTGAAAAAACTAACCTCTTTGAAGAATCAGTCCCGTTTATATCCTAGTTAATTAAATTATCTCTAAATGTTTAAACTACACTTAGAGTATTACTCTATATATTTTTAATGTTTATTTATTTTTGAGAGACAGAGCATGAGTGGGGGAGGGGCAGAGAGAGAGGGAGACACAGAATCTGAAGCAGGCTCCAGGCTCTGAGCTGTCAGCACAGAGCCTGACGCGGGGCTCGAACCCACAGACTGTGAGATCATGACCTGAGCTGAAGTCGGACGCTCAACCGACTGAGCCACCCAGGCGGCCCAGTATCACTATATTTAATTTTCTTTTGTAAACACTTCAGTTCTGAACCTAACAATTAATACTTTCCCAGCTAAATGGTCTTATAAATGTAATAAACTTACTATCATAATAAGTATTAAGTTGTCTTAAATAGTCTAATACTGTTTATATATTCAGCCAAATATTTTATAATATTCAATTTTAAAATTGTCTATTTTAAATGAGTCTAAAGTCACTTGGCTTATTACATATTTTATTTTATTTTTTAAGTTTATTTATTGTGAGAGAGAGCAAGAGAGACACAGAGATAGAGAGAGAGAGAGAAAGAGAGAGAGAATGAGTGAGGGAAGGGTAGAGAGAGAGTTTCTCTCTCTTTGAGAGAGAAACGCAAGTAGGCTCCATGTTGTCAGCACAGAGCCTCTACGTGGGGTTCTATCTCATGAACCGTGAGATCACGACCAGAGCCAAAATCAAGACTCGGATGCTCAAACAACTGAGCCACCCAGGCCCCCTATGCTGTTACGTATCTTAAATGGAATTACCAGGCGACTTGGCCAAACGTTCTAATATGCCGAATCTCTTTAACATTATACATTTTGTATACTAAATATCATACCAAATACTCACACACTATCTCTGAACACAATCAGAGCAAAGCGTGAACATTTCCCAGAATTAGAACACTCACACACACCTATGGGAGAACTAGTTTCAACCATCCCGAGCAAACTGTTGGGATTCTTCCAATCATTGAAGTTTCTTCAGTGGCCAAGAACAGGGGCCAGGACCCAAGGCCTGAGCCTATATACATTCAAGGAACTTCTTCCTACACCACTGATGGACATGATGAGCTACTTTTATACGTGTTATTACAAGAATTACATCCTTTGCCTTGGACTTGGCATTAGGACCAATCTCCTGGGAGTTTAAGAATTAGCTAATTCTTTGGGCTCCTGGCTGGCTCAGGCCATAGAGCATGTGACTCTTAATCTGGAGACTGTAAATTCCATCCCCACATTGGGTGTAGGGGTTGCTTTAAAAAAATGTTCTTCTTAAACACAAAAGAATTAACTAATTTTTCTGTTGAAGGTGGAAGTGTGCAATAACCACTAAAATTGCGGCTGACTTCCCTTTTGGCTTGGTTCGATTTTGCATTTTTTAAACGTCTTAAGACCTTTTCGGTGTCCTTCCTTTTGATGTAAGCATTAATGTTATTTCCACTGGGTACTTCATGCTCTTACGCAAATCTCCTGCAACTCCTTTTAGCTTCTTTTGTAACCTCTTTTAACTAAGTGGTGTGGACAGACCTCTTCACTCTCACTACCTCTCTGCTAAGATTGCTTCCTTCTCCACACTTCTTCCTCCCTGATTGACCTCGAGAGGCTTCTTTAATTTCCTGTCAGGACCCAAACTCATCTGATGGGATTCCACATGTCTCTCTAGACTGCATCTCCAAGGAGAGCAGAATACACCACCCTAAAACACGCCTGTTTGGCATGAGGATTGTTTTGACTTGGTTGTTTCTGAAAGCCGGCAGACACACAGGAGAATCTCTGAAAACAGAGCGGAATCTACCTTTCTGTAAAGGACACCTACCCTTAGCAAAGAAATCTCTATTTTTAAGGTGTCTCCCTCTGGAAGAGTAGACTGACTCTAAATCTCATTTGGAGATTAATTCTCCAATTAATGGAGAAGACAATGGCTTATATCTAGAGAAGAAATGACGCTGTTTACTGTGTTTTTACCGGTAGCATCCCATAACTTTCCCCGCCCTCAAACATCTTCTTTTTTCTTTGGCTGGAGATGGTGTTTAAGGCATTGGTTTGGGCCACTTCAAGGGATTTTACTCAGTTTTCCTGGGTCTCCCATATGTACACATGAGGTACGCATGTTACTGAACTTCAGTTTGTTTTCTTCTTCTTAATGCCTCTTTCATTATGCAGGGTTCTCAGCCACAGAACCTCGAAGGGAAGGGAAGAGGAATGATTCTTTTTCCTCCCCTACAGTCTGGCTTTAAAGGCACAAAACTATTATAATTATGGAAGAGCAACTGCTTCCATGTAGGGTTGCCTCTTAAAAACAAGCCAATAAAAAAGCAATCGACTCATTGCCATTGGTAAGAACACTCTAGGCCAATGAGTCTCGACCAGCGATGACTTGGCCCCCAGGTAGGACTGCCAGATTTAGCAAATAAAAATACAGGATGTTTAGGGGCGCCTGGGTGACTCAGTTGGTTAAGTGGCCAACTTAAGCTCAGATCATGATCTCACAGTCTGTGAGTTTGAACCCCACGTCGGGCAGCTCAGAGCCTGGTGCCTGCTTCGGATTCTGTGTCTCCCTCTCTCTCTGCCTCTCCCCTGCTCTCTCTCTTTCTCTCAAAAATAAATAAACATTAAAAAAATTTTTTTCAATACAGGATGTTTAGTTAAACTTGAATTTTAGATAAATTTCTGAAATCCCGCACGGGGCATGCTTATACTAAACAATTGGGGTTGTCTAACTGAAAATTAAAGGTATTTGACAATGTCTGGAGATATTTTTGGTTGTCACCACCAGGAGTGGGGGCAAGCTCCTGGCATCTAGAGGGCAGACGGCCAGGAATGCTGTTACACAAATTCCGGTGATCGGAACGGCACGTCACAGCCAAGAATGACCCTGTTCAAAACAGTGCAAGGGTAGAGAAAACCTCATCGAGGCCAATGGGAGAATTTAATGTGAAAGAAGGGGACTTGATGAATTACAGTGTGGGAATGGAACATGGTTGCAGAGAGGGGAAAAAATCTTTTTCCTTCTACCCTTCTAGGTTCTTGGCTGGGGTTCTCTAACATAAGATAGGTTAACAAGAGAAAAATGAAGAGAAGTTTGTTATATCTCATATCTGTAGAGAAGAAGCTCGGGGATGTGGAAGTCAAAGAGGTGTTTAGCATTTAGGTTATATACCAACTTAGGCTGATGGAAACGAGGATCTGGGGAGGGGATGGAAGGAAAGGGGGAAGCGAGTTACGGACAGGTGACCAGGGAAGGTGCTGCAAACAAGCGATGTTCAGTAAGGTTTGTTAGGCAGATTTAATTCAGTGTCTTCTCTACAGCTAAGAGGTAAGAGTGCATTACAAATTGAAATTTCCTTTATAGATGTAAATTTCCTTCATAAAAGGAGAACTTGTGCTCTGTTTTTCAAGCCTTTCTTGCACCTATTGGTTCTCAAAGGCCATTAGCTCAGAATAACCCATGTGCCAAAGAGGCATATTTTAGGGTGATAGATTCTGGTACTCCTCATGTTGAAACACTGTCATAATGGATAACTTTATGCATGATGGATACATTTTTCAATTAAAAAAAATTTTTTTTAAGTAGGCTCCATGCCCCAGATGGAACCCAACACAGGGCTTGAACTCACAACCCTACACCCCGAGATCAAGACCTGAGCTTAGACCAAGAAAGTGGACTTGAGGCAGACAAGAGAGAAAACAGCAAGATGAGATGAGTTACGAGGCCACTGCATTAGGTCAGCAGAGAGATACTAGGACCTAAGGCAGGAGAGCACCAGTGGGGGAGGGGAGAAGAGGAGGAAATCCGAAGGAGGTAGAAATAACGGGCTTTTTGTTGAAAATGCATCGGGAGGCTGTGTTGAAATAAATTTCTATGTCCAAGATGGAGTCAGACCTGCTCAGAATGCCACATCAGCAAACCAAAACCGAAACAACTTTCTTATTCTTATAAATGATCCATCTGACCAGAAAGGCGGTATTTGCACCCAGTCAATCCCCAACTGCCAAGAATCGGTGCTGATACATAGTTCTAAGTAAGGTCAGTTACGCAACCCTGGCCAATTAGTTCACACCAAATACGTTTTCCTTATTCCCCGACTGACCTGCTAGCCTCAGAAGGAAATACCTGACCTCCTAGCCACGGATGCCCTGTTTCCATGTTGTGCTGCTTCTAACGCTCTCTCGAACTCACTTCTGTGCAATCATCATCTCTTCGGGAGAGTGTCCCGGCACCGCGGGGCACCGACTCCCTCAATCCACGGCTTCTTCTCCCTTGAATAAAGGACATCACGTGAAATTGTTTTATTGTCGTCATTTGACAACTGTTGTCTCCTGGCACCAAATACACGTCTGCATATGTTGCTGTGGGATGCTCACACTGGCTCTCCGTGAGCTGTTTCTCTTTTCCCCGTTGGCCTCCTGTTAGATTTCCCCCATAGGGAGCACTGAGGGAGGACAGTAAGACTAAGGAGGCAGAAAAAGAGCTGCCCTTTCCTATGTGTTTGCTGATCCCATTAGCATAAACCCAGCCATAGCCCTTGATCTTGGAAACGGCCAAGGCTTTTCCCTGCCTTGGTCTGGTTTTTTCCCTGCCTTCCCTAAACCAGCCTAATCACACCCTTTAGAGATACCAATACCAACCATCTCCCGCCTCCAGCTCAACCAGGTGTAACTCCTCCCCTGAGCTCTTGTAGTGGTAGCCGCAAGCAGATAGTAACCCCTTCTCAATGGCTGGGCCCCAAGAATTTCAGGGTCCTTCCCACAAGCTCCTAAGTGCTGGTAACCCCAACCTCTGTTCTCTGTTCCCCCAGTCCAAGAGATGGTAGCCCCTCCTGGGGCTCTCTGTCACCCCAATGTTCTCCTTTGGCCTTTTCAGACTTGCAATACCCACCGAACGGATTCCTTGTATTAAATTCTTTTGGTTAAAATAACTAGTGTGGTTTTCCTTACTGGGGTCTGACTGATATAGTACTCTAGAGATGTGCAGAAGCTACAAATAGCAGGAATTCTCAAGCTGATAGAAGGGACACGGGGAATCCCAGATCAAGGACCGCACGCACGTGTCCCGCGTGGCGCCTTTCGCCGAAACGCAGAATACTGGAAGGGAAATAAGATGAGGGAAGGACTGGGGAGACACAGTCGGTGCCAGTTTGCACAAGTTGTGTTTAGCACGTCTAAGTGCAGATACACAATAGGAAGTTTGTTATGTGGTTGCAGAAGTTTACAGTCAGAGTTGAGGTAGAGATTTGCTGAGAATTATCAGCAAATAGACCCGTAGTTCCCAAAGTAAGAAATGAGAGAGGTTAGATACCTTATAAGAGTCTTTCTGCTCGTACACAACCTGTATAAATTCCTTGATTGGATAGGGTCATTCTCCTTAAATAACACAACAGCTTTTTCTTGTCATTTTAGCACGTTTAAATGTTAACAATGGCTATCTAATCAAATAAGTACTTTTGCTAATCAGAATGTTTGCGTTTCCGAGTTTTATACGTCAGAGCTCAGCCATCTCCTGCCATAATTCTCTTGCTTGTGACACCTTTTTTTATTTTTTGTTCGCTTAAAAGGAAGCCCAGGATTCTGAGGCCAAATTGCAATAATAATCATTGTTTTGTACCAATGTAGGGTTTTTTACTCGAAGACTTAAAAAATCTTGTCAAATTTGAAATCACTTTTGAATTTTCCAGTAATTAAGAAACTGATGGTAATGGAAAAAGGAAATGGGGTCAGCCAACCCTTAAAATAAAAACACACATTGGCATCGTAAGTTTAAATGTAAAACAGGTCACTTAGGTCTTTAGCACTTAGGCAACACTTAATTCTCCGTGTGTTCTATTTCTGTGTCATCCTCTGTCATGTACTCACAGAATTAGTAATTATCATGTGCTTTCATGGAAATGCAAAGAGTTGGGCGCCCGGATGGCTCAGTCGGTTAAGCATCAGACTCTTAAACTTGGCTCAGGTCATGATCTCACGGTTGGTAAGATTGAGCCCTATGTTGGGCTCCATTGTACTGACTGCAAGAAGCCTGCTTGGGATTCTCCCTCTTCCTCTCTGTCTCTGACCCTCCCCCACTTGTGTTCTCTCTCTCTCCCCCTCTCCTCTCTCTCTCCCTCTCCCTCTCTCCCAATGAATAAGTAAACTTAAAAAAACTGCAAAGAGTAAACTCATGCTCCTGGTCCCACAATCACTGGGATGCTATGATTTGTGTTGCTTAATTTTTTAGATAACTTCACGTATCTGAGACAAGAGCTTATTTTTATTTCTTGGTAAAAACAGAAAACCACTGACAAATCCTGTTACGGTGGATGACTGTTTCGGGATATAACCAACTACTTCTGCAAGCTGTCCACTCTTCCTCCAATGACTCAGGAATGTGTTGGATGAATTAAATTATAAGGCTCTTACAATTTTGCGGTAAAACCAGTTTCACAGTATGAGACAAGCTATACTCTTTAGGGTGTGGGTTTACTGCTCTGCCCCAGGACGGAGGATGTTGCCTACTTTATTTACACTTAGAACTACAATTTTCTCTCACTCCTGGTGCTTTGTGGGGCTGGAAAAAGAGGTGATTCATATCAACATTCTTATGGGGCCTTAACGTTCGTTGCGTTACATTCCCTTCTGAGGTTATGAAATGCAGTCTCAAGTTTTTATGGGGTTTCATTGGTTTTGTTACATTTTATAATAAAGTGTTGCATTTGGATTTTGTTGTTTTGTTTCTTAAATTAAGCTATCGTTAAGGTCACGGCTGTCAGACTTTGGCGGGCCAGATTCTGATCCTTCCTCTTTAGAAATTGACCTATTTGGGGCACCTGGGTGGCTCAATTGGTTAAGCATCCGACTTCTGTTCAGGTCATGATCTCATGGTTCATGAGTTCGAGCCCCACGTGGGGCTCTGTGCTGACAGCTCAGATCCTGGAACCTGCTTCGGATTCTGTGTCTCCCTCTCTCTCTGTCCTTCAAACTCGGGATCCTGTTCCTGAGATCAAGAGTCACATGCTCTTCCAACTGAGCCAGTCAGGTATCCCGCCCCCCACATCCTTATTTTTTAAGTCAAACTGTAAGTGGGTTGAACCTACTTTCCAACGCTTTGAAGACATCCAAGATCGCTCACATACTGGGTTTTCCCCCTTCTTTGGGACATATCAGAAGCCTTGGTTTCTTTTTTTTTTTTGATCTCTCTGGTCTTTTTGATCTTCTTGGACAGGAGGCATTCATCTGGTTCCAAAGGCAGTTTTGGACCTGTATATAAATGCATTTGAATATGAGATTCTAAAAATTCTTCACATAAAATTAATGAAGCTGGATAATGAATAATATTCCTGACCTTAATGCCTCTACTCTCTCAACAGCAATACTCATTTCTCGATAGGCCATTTTGGGGCCAGAATTGCCTGCTCATTTCTATTCTAGGCAGAAAACCTAAAAAAGACCTTATGGTAAATAACCCGTGAAATAGGAACGGATTCATGCATGCGTCTGAATTGCTGGGACCAAGGTTTGGACCTACTAAATTTCCTACACTAGATTTTTCTTCCTTGGCCACCAACATTTGTTTGTTTCTCTTCTTTTAACTAACGTGTGCTCAGTGGGGATGATATCACTCCCCGCTCCAAGCAAAATTACTTCTTGGAGAGAGAAAGAGAAACTGATAATTTTCATGACTATAGCCCAGATATAAATATAGTACATAAATGGATATACAGTGTATCTGTGATACTAAAATTTCACAGAGGAGGGTCAATTACAGAAGGACGTCTCCAGAGTTTCCTTAAAAAGAAACATGAAGGAAAGTTTGAGAAACACTGCTTCGACTGATTTTGATCTTAATTTTCTAGTTTGTAAAATAAACAACTTCTGAGGTTGGAAAATAAAGAAGAAACCGATTTCCGAGCAACCTGCTGCACAAGCAATCCATGCGCCTAGCATCACCAAGCACCCAGATGTCACTCACTGCTCCAGGGAGTAGTCTGAGCCCTTTACATGTATTAACTCCTCTCAGATGGTCAACGGTCCTTGACCACATTAAGCCCAACAATGATTTAACAGGCGGGGGATGGAACAGATGTGTCTCTGAGGCACAGAGACATTAAGTAACGCACCAGGGTCACACAACTGATAAACGGCAATATGAGGGTCAAAACCCGCGACACGTAGTTTCAGATTCTGTCACTCTAGCCATTATTGTCTATGGCCTCTCTTTCGGTACACAGCCTTCCCCTTGTCCAACGGGTGTGTGTGCACCTAATTAATGAACTTGCAAAAAGTGATTTTTGTGTGCGTGCAATTATTCACATCCTACGTTTGCCCTGGGACAGTACCTAATGACACTCTTTCCTGTCACAAAATGGTCTTCAATGTCGTGTCTCGTGATGACATTCACGTTTCCTTGGTATTGATGCTAACCGCTCTCATCAATTTAGCACTTACCATGGCCAACCCCTCTCTGCCAGGAGCTTCACGGATATCGTCTAGTTCAATGGTCAAAGTACTTCCTCAAGATGATAACACAAAAATACTAGCTGGATGTATTGAGTGCTTACTATTCCCTGGACACATCTCAGGGACCACATCCCCATTAGTGCTCTTTTGCAATAACCCGCTGAGGCTGACACTGTTATTGTCCCCGTTTGTGCTGATGAGAAAACTAAGACTCTGAGAAGCAAAATTGTCTGCTCCAAATCAGCAGGTGGCAAGTGGCAGGACACAGCCGAAGGCCTTCGGCCGAACTACTGGACGCTCCTGCTACCTCCAAGACACCCTAATGAACTTGGTCTTAATGCACTTTAGTCCGTAGAGGCAGGTGGACTTCCTGCTGCCTTGATGGCGTCTTGATTCCCAGAGCTTGGCTCATTTTTGGCTCCCCAGACACCACTAGACCTCTAATACTTCAGATTGCTGATTGCGGGCTTGTATTTCCTGACCTTCTTCCAAGTTCAACTTGCCCTGTTGCCTGACTGACACGGGCATTATTAACTCTGACAAACAAACGGCACAGAAGATAAATCCATCATTCTTAGAATGTTCCCCTCTCGGAGAGGCTCGTCTTGACACCTGCCCAGAGGCACATGGCATCATTTGCAGCACTCTTTGCAGGTGGGCCAAACAGGAAGGCCAAATTAGCCAAGAGCTAGCGTCAGGTTTCCTGTGCGATTTTAAGAGGAAAAATATTAAACATGTAGGAGTCAATTTTTTTTTTGTATTTTATGTTTAAAAATATTAAGTAGGAAGAAAAGTAACAAAGTGTTCACATTTACTGTGGCTATTTTATATCTCCAAGGAGATGATGATAAAAAAATGCTATTTTCCAACTGTCATCCTCCATGTTTCAATGCGTGTCTTTGAAATTGTAAAAAAAGAGAGAAATATGCAAAACCATTCCCCGAGGGGGAAAAAATAAACTTTCCTGAAGGAAACTGATGGTGTGGCCAAGTTAGTGAGCTGAGCTCCCCGTGAGTTTTTGAACCTAGTTTGAACCAAATAGTGACACTCAGTTGGCAATTCTGACCCTTAGGGGACTATATTCAGGACTTTGGCAGTGATTCAGGAAGAAACAAAGTAAGGGAGAAGGAAAGAACAATCTGACAAAGAAAGATGTGAAAGATGTGAAATACGAGCCCTTCCTATACATACATTCGGCCCACAGATTCAGCATGGGGGCCAAGGGCAGGCAGACCCAAGATGGGCCCCTCGGGCGTGAAGGTCATTTTGAGTTAAATGCAATCAAAACCCAGCAAATTCAGAAAAAAGCTCTTTACCTCCCCACTGGACTGCCAAAAAGAATTCAGATAGAGGACTTGCTCCAGTAAGAGAGCGATCACTACCGGTAACTATGTTATGATATGAGGAGTAGTAGAGAGGGAGGAGCCTAGCAAGGGCTGTGTGATCAAAGTCCTCTGTCCTACTGTTTCTGAAGGGCCCAGTATACATTCGTTTACAGACATTTGCTCTTTATCTTCCCATGAAGTGCATTCCTTCCTTTGAAGGAGCATTCCCTCGCTCCTTCTCCTCAGTTCAAACTCACACATATACCTCATTTTGCCTGACTGCCTTTGGAATTCCCACGTCTATGTGGATTCCACACACACACAAAATTAAATTTGGTTTTCTCCTGTTAGTCTGTCTCATGTCAATGCAATTGGCTTCTTAGTCCAGACAGAAGGGTCTTGAAGGGCAGAGAGAATTCTTCCTCCTCAGCATCGGTTGAGCACACAAAGAAGCCTGATGATCCAAGGTGGAACATTCCATACATTTTCAGGTGTTTGATGTCCCGCAAGGTTTAACCCCAGAACAGATGGAATGTAAGACGTGACAGCCACTCTGGAAAGTTTTTTGGAAATATGTACTGCAGTTCTACACATGAATATCCTAGGACCAGAAAATTCATTTTAGAAACTTAAAATAAAATTTTTACTGTAATGTTTATTTATTTTTGAGAGACAGAGACAGAGTACAAGCGGGGCAGGGGCAGAGAGAGAGGGAGACACAGAATCTGAAGCAGGCTCCAGGCTCCGAGCTGTCAGCAGAGAGCCTGATGCGGGGCTTGAACTCACGAACCATGAGATCATGACCTGAGCGGAAGTCAGACACTGAACCGACTGAGCCGCCCAGGCACCCCCAGAAAATTCTATTCTTAGTATACACTTAACCCAAATGGAAATACCAAAGACATCAAAAAATGTTCAAGTGGCATTATTTGTCATAAACAAAGTTGGACTCCACCCAAATTCCATCAACTGTGGAAGAGATCAATAACTTTTGTTCTGGCAATATAATGGAATACTATATAACAGTACAAATGAACAGACCGTTGTCACATGCAAACATATGGGTGAATCCCACAAGCGTAACGTCGAGCAAAGAACCCAGACACAAAAGAGCACGTACATACAATTCCATTTTTTATGAAGTTCAAAAAAGCAAACTAATACAAGGTATTAGAACCAGAGTAGTGGTTATCTTAGGCAAAGGGATGGAAATGGTCATTGGGAGGCACTTGAGAGAGTTTCTGGGTACTGCTAATGTTCTATTTCTTGACCTGGGGTAGGAATTCCCAGGTATCTTAACTTTAGGATAATTAATTGAGCTTATGATTTGCACATGTCCCTACATGTATGCTACTCTTAAGCATCACACACACACACACACACACACACACACACACACACACACACATCAAGGCTTCTACCCAATGAATAGACTTACACCTCCAACAAATACGATTTTCTAGGATCCTCTCTCCCCCAAGTGCTGCCTCCCCACTCCCACCAGCCCACCATCCTCTTAGAGAATCCTCCCACCTCCAGTCCTGCCCTCCCCTTGCTGCCCCAGTGGTGCTGACTGAGTCACACTTGTGGTTGTGGTAGGCCTTGGACACCTGTAGCACCTACCCCAGCATCACCCATGGCCAAATAAGAAGCCATCTTGTTTGTGAAACATGATAGGAGAAACTGGAATCTGGCCACATCCCTCTTCTTTTCCTAGAAGGATCCTGCTGTGCCCTGACAAAGCACCCAAAACAGTCAGGGGGAAAGCAGAAGTATCATTACTAGTTAAGAGTGCCATCTGGTGTATTTTCGGCCAAGTGGCTCAAACATCTCTGCTACGAGTCATGGAATTTAGAGCCTTTCCCTGAAGAACATTAGAGACCTCTGTCTTTGGACTTAACCTTTGACAAAGTCCTAAGAATTCCTGTCATATATCAATTGGAGAAATCTAGAATAACTACTGATGTAGTGGACATTTGTCTTTTTTTTTCCTGTTATCCTGAACAAGCTATGTTTGGAGACTTTCCCACTACGGAAACTATAGGAAAATAAATATTGGATTTCCCGGACTCCCTTTACATCAGGCATCACATGACCTAGGGGCCACCAGTTAGAAGCACCTGTCACATGAACTTAGAATCGGAAGATCAGAAGAGAAAAGGCCGAGACTGCCATTTCCGTTCTAGTGACCGTCCTCCATTTCTAAAGACAGCAAAGGAGCAATTCCAGCAGCAGCGAGGTGTAAGGACTAAAGGTTTGAAATTTCGCTCTACTTACAGGCTAATAGGCTCACTTGCCAGTTTCATGGATGCTGGTAGAAGATGCTAAACCCTTCGGTCAGAGACACAGGGCTCTATTACTCAAAGCACATCAAGCATCATGAACATTCGCACATACAGCAGGTGCCGTTGGCCCTAATTCTCATGGGAGCAAAGCAGATGGGCCAGACAGATGCCTGAACACAGAGGGGAACACACTGGATCTTTTATAATGGGCAGTAAGCATGTCTAACCTTTGTTCTATAGGGAAATACTGTCTTTACCTTCCAAGGAGATAGATATATATATATATATATACTGTTTTATTTATATATATATATATATACATATAACAGTTTTACTGTTTTTTACTGTTTACTGTTTACTGGTTTTACCGTTATACAGTAAATATACAAAAGTATATATATATAACAATATATATATATAAAACAGTAAAACCAGTAAACAATAAATAGTAAAAAACAGCAAAACTGTTATATATATATAATATATATAAATTATATATATGACATTTTATAAAAATTTTTCATATATTCATATTCATATATATTATATATTTCATATATTTCATATATATATGACAATTATATATATATATGACAGTAAAACCATATGTATATATATATGATTTTACTATTAAAATTTTGGTCTATTTCCATCCAGTTATTTTTTTCCTTCCATAGGTTTTTGTGTGTTTCATTTACATAGTTACAATTAAATTGGATATGCGGTCAAATTGGATATATGTAGTTATAATCAAATATGTATACCAACATACATTGGTATTTTGCTATATATACTCTAGGTAACTGCCGAACCTTTATTTGGAGCAGGCTATGTAGTATCCTATAGCAGATATAACTGCACAGATTTTTATATTCTCTTATGGATGTTTGGTCTGTTTCTTTTAGCACTAGGAAGAATATATTTGGCTGTAAATTACGTTCTATATTTGAGAAGATGTCTGTAAGGTAGATCTAGTCATCTGGTTTCTGGGAAACTAGAGATACAAAAATCTTTGAAAGGGGCGCCTGGGTGGCGCAGTCGGTTAAGCGTCCGACTTCAGCCAGGTCACGATCTCGCGGTCCGTGAGTTCGAGCCCCGCGTCAGGCTCTGGGCTGATGGCTCAGAGCCTGGAGCCTGTTTCCGATTCTGTGTCTCCCTCTCTCTCTGCCCCTCCCCCGTTCATGCTCTGTCTCTCTCTGTCCCAAAAATAAATAAATGTTGAAAAAAAAAAAAATCTTTGAAGGTTGTCATTCATTTCACTGAATTACCTTCCCAGTCATGTTTGTGACAATTCATCCTCTGTGCATGCTGTCAATATGGAAGTGACCATTTTACCACACCCTCACCAGCATCTTTGTTAATTCAGTATAATGAAAAACAGCACCTCTTTAAAATACGCACATTTTGTCCTGGATGGATAGTCTGCAACAAAGGCAACCAGGGCCTCTGTTTGTAAGACATGAAGAAAAGCAAGGCGCCAATGGAGAAATGTCTCCTAACCCGGGGTTCCATGACCAGGGTTGATGAAATCGGAAGTGTTAATTGCAGTGACTCAACTGAACAATGGTACCCGTGGTGCCTTTACCAGACCAGTTTTGCATCATTGTTTCCAGCATTGGCTCTGGCTGCATTGTCTACAAACCTGATTCTTGGACCCGTGTGGAGTTAGTCAGCTCCGGCCAATATTTTCTGCTTGGTTTCTTTCACTCACACCTGCACATTCTGACTGATACACTAAAGACGTTGTGACTTCATTGGAAAATGCCTATGCATATCCATTTCTTGCCCTTTATTTTTGTTGGTTCACGTAGTCTCTTAGATGTTGGGTAAACCCTCTGCCATCTCATCCACTAAAGGCAGATAGAAGATATCTCCTAGTCCAGTCTTAAAGAAAAACGAAGTGGGCTCTGTATCACCCACAGCTCCTGGAGCTGAGGTTAAATCCCCAGATAACACACTTCTTTTTTTTTAGTGGTTATTTATTTAGTTTTGAGAGATAGAGAGTGAGAAGGGGAGGGACAAAGCAGGAGAGAGAGAGAATCCCGAGCAGGCTCAGCACTGTCAGCACAGAACCTGATGCGGGGCTCAACTCACGACCTGAGCTGAAATCAAGCTTAATTTACCGAGCTACCCAGGAATCCTCCCCTCCCCCACCAGATAATACACTTTCTGAAGGTTTTGGATCCCTGGCCTGCAAGTTGCTAGGACCCGGGAGATTTTGTCTTAATCTAGGATATAAGGAAGCTCGGCTTCATGAGGACCACTGATGAGTTTATACATTTGTTGACCATGTACTCCCCACAGAGCTTCCGAGGATAGAGTTTCACGGGAGCAAAGCACACGTGGCGATGACGAAATGTAAAGTTAGACTTACGTGTCCTGAGTGACGTTAAGTGAACGCCTGGCTGGTCCTTTCTAGACCGACATGGTCCTTCATGTGCCCTTGAACTCCATGATGTCCGAGAAAAGAACATGGGAGTTTCTGCGGGGCAGTGACCAGCCCTCCAGGATTAGGATGACAGACGTCACTGAAAAGTATCGACACGAGCTTAATCAGGGGCATGCGGCTGGCTCTGTCAGTGGAGCGTGCAACTCCTGATCTTGGGGTCATGAGTTCGAGCCCCATGTTGGGTGGAGAGATTACCTAAAGAATTAAAACTTCAAAAAATTAAAAACTGAAAAAGACAAGCTTTGTAACAGTATTTCAAATGAGAACAACGTTATTTAATCTTGGCTGAGTGTTTACCATATGCCAGGAACCATACATTAAATGCAGTGTCTTAGTTAAACATCCCACAAACCTTAAAGTAGATATTATTATCATTTGAGGCTCAGAGAAGTTCGGTAGTTCATCTTGAAGAGCTTGCAAGTGATTGATCCAGGACTCCTATGGCATCTCCCTCAGTGCTAGGTATTTAGAAGTCACCTGGTGGCAATCTGTCGAGCAGACACAGTTGGAGGGGAGAATTATATTGTAAGAATACATGCAAAGATGTGGGGAAATGTTCACTGTCCACGGAGAGAAAAAAAAAGAGGGCTAAGTAGGAGCATGTACACTCTAATTTAGGACTATGTATACTCTACATGGGGAGAAAAGGAGAAGGGACTTCCTCTTACAATGGGGAGAAGGATCTTCTTTACTTAGTCTAATGATTCAAATGCTAATCTCGTCGAGAAACACCCCTTACAGACACATCCAGAAACAATATTTCACCAGCTCTGGACATCCCTCCGCCTGGTCAACTTGACACATAAAATTAACCGTCAGAAATGGTGTCCGACGTCCTAAAGCCTGGGTTGAGAGGGGAAGAAAGTTCGGATCATCATAAAGAGAGCGCTACGGGAAGCAGGTGAAATAGCAGCTTTTTAAAAGCCAAATCTCAAGGTCTCCTCCTAGATTTACTCTGCAAAACACCCACTGGAAGTTCTTAGTTTAAACCAGAGCATCGGAGGCACAAACCCCATCCCCTCATCCCAAGACTCCCTGCAGGGCCTCGGCTTTTTATAAAACCTCAGAACAATCAGGTGGCCTCCTAAAGCAAAGGCTTGACCCCCAGCCCAGCCTCTCAGCAACCAAAAATCTCTATCCTTCTAGGACAGATTTTTTTTTCTTTTTTTGCAATGAACAGGAAGACAGGAATGAGAAAGGAGGAGAGAAAAAAAGAACGAGTTGGAGATAAAGCCAAAGTTTTACCGGGTTAAAGCCCAGATGCTCCAGGTCCACTCCTCTGCAAATCACTCTGATTTGGTGGTGACTCCCCCTTTCAAACTGGCTTTTCACGCCCGCGTGTTAGTGAGACAGGAGACGTATTTCTTTCGTGACTTTCCAATTTGTATTATCATACAAGCCATAGATGGTTCTTTGCCGAAAGCCTGAAAAAATAACGCAGTTGGAAAAAATGACAAAGAAAAAGAGGAAATTTAAATCACACAGAAAACCATTCCCCATCATCCAAGCTCTTCTGGAATTTAAATCATTCTCTAGGCACTGGCATAAAGCAACAACTTCCTTAGCCTCGGTCAATATAGATTTTAATCAGGCTAAATCAGAGCTTAATGAAACATCTGCTGAAAGATGCGTTTTGTCTCCTGAGTCTAGTCTGCATTGTAGAAACCTCTTTTTGGCTCTCACATCAGGCCTGAAAGAGGAACTGGGGCTTCCAAGTCGAGATCACCATTTTCTAGGAAAGGAAGCTTGGATATTTGCACGCTAAATGGCCCGTAAGTGTGTAGACAGGACTCTCTCTCCCTCTCTACTCCTCCCCCAACACACATAGCTTTGTATCTCTGTGTGGCCAATGAACTTGCAGGACACACAGCTCAGGGACGCCTCTCCAGCTGACTCTGCCCATCTGACTGACCTGCTAATCAGAAATTCTCTTTTACTGTGAGCAGTAACGGCGACCATTCACGGAGGGCCCACAGGGTTAGGGTTAGAAGCTACGACTGACTGCCCATCTATTTCTTGCCTTCCGTTGACGTAACTGGTCTGCGGGTGGCATCTCAGTCCTGCCCCCAACACTCACCAGTTCCCTGCAACCCGGTGCGTGTAAGCATGCGCACACTCCTCTTCCGGAAAACACGCTCCCCCTCCTGCCGCCCAGTGCCCGTGGAGGCTCAGTCTTCCGCCCTCAGGCCTTTCTCATTCACTGCCTTTGAGGCCCTCAACCATTTTCCGGATTTCACTTACCTCTACTCAGTGCATGACCCCTGAAATGTACACCTCAAGGTTAATTTCTTGCGATTGCCAGGTCAGTGTTTCCACGCGGCTCTTCTGCTGTTGTCTCCAGTGCAAAAGCATCTTACTGCAGCCCACATTATCGCTTGACTCAAAAACCTCCATACATCCCTTCCTATGCTAGACGTGCTGCTACGTGCTTCAGAGAGGTGGTTTCATCTCATCTTCGTAAGGGCTCTACCTTATCTACCAGTCAAGAAACAGGCTCGGAGGAATTGATCAGCTTGGAAGTGCAATGCACCCGACTGAAAGTACCCACTCTTCATGATCAACGACTCTGCCACCTAATGTCCACTTTCACGAGTTCACTTACTCCCTTTATACTGTGTGATCCCATTTGTTTCTTTTTTTTTTTAATTTTTTTTAACATTTAGTTATTTTTGAGGCAGAGAGAGACAAAGCATGAACGGGGGAGGGTCAGAGAGAGAGGGAGACACAGAATCTGAAACAGGCCCCGGGCTCTGAGCTGTCAGCACAGAGCCCGACACGGGGCTGGAACTCACAGACTGTGAGATCATGACCCGAGCTGAAGTCGGACACTCAACCGACTGAGCCACCCAGGAGCCCCAATCCCATTTGTTTCCACGTGGCATCTGCGTCCCCCCCCCTTTAACGCTGACTTTTATGGTTTTGTGGTTTGCGGGTCTGAAGTCTTCTCCCCCTTCCTTTCTGTGTCCCGTTTCTAGAAACACAAGTCTTCATCCTTTGGCCTCACCATGGCCTTCCTTTCACAGGGCTGTTAAGAAAACCCACTGGCATAATGCCTGGGAAAGGACATACAATCAATAAAGGTAAAGTCTAATCGCACTAGCTGGTGGTGAGCCAATCGGGTTTCCTGACTGTAAGGGAACAGACACACACAGTCTTCAGTGACCTTGACACGTCACCCCCACCTTGAAGATTTCCCTTTCCTCTTCTGTGAAGTCAGGAGGTCGGACGAAATGATACCTGTGGTTCCTTCTGATTCTAAAACTTGAAGATTCTGCTTCTTCAGAAGGGATGCTATTTTCCACCTCAAGGAATGAGAGATTTTTCTGATTCAAAAAAGCCATTACATCAGACAAAGGCAATATCAATAACCTTTTAGAATTTCCCTCCTCCCTCTTTGGAGGAGGAAGTGTTTCCATGTGTTTATTTGTGCCTCTGAAAAACATAGTGATATACTATGACAGAGTGACCTGTGATGGCAAAGCTTGACATTTAATCAGAGAAATTGAATAAATTATTGTGTACAATGACATATTCCTGATTATTTTGTCTCTTGGAGTGCAAAGAATCCTGTAGTTTCTTTTTTTTTTTTTTTTAAGTTTGTTCATTTATTTTGAGAGCTAGAGTGAGAGCAGGGGTGGGGCAGAGAGACAGGGAGAGAGAGAGAAATCCCAAGCAGGTTTTGCAATGTCAGCAAAAACTATGATGTGAGGCTCACTCCCACGAAACATGAGATCATGACCTGAGCCAAAATCAAGAGTAAGACACTTAACCGACTGAGCCATCCAGGCGCCCCTAGAATCCTGTAGTTTCTAAGAGACCCGTATGAAGCTATGTGGTTTCATTTATGACTTATTGTGTACTTATTTTCAAAAAGCAAACAAGTTCTATGGACTGAACTGAGTCCCCCCAGATTTCACATATTGATAGTCTAACCTCCAACGTGACTGTATTTGGAGACAGGACTTCCAGGAGGTAATTGAGGCTAAATAAGGTCATAAGGTTGGGGTCCTAATCCTACAGAATCCTTATCCTAATCCTACAGGATCCTTACAAGAAGGGGGAGAGACAGATCCCCCCCTGCCCCTCTTGGGAGGACACAGCAAGAAGGTGAGCACAGACAGGCCCGGAGGAGAGCTCTCAAGAGGAAACGAATCAGCCAGCCCCCTGACGGTGACTTCCAGGCTCCAGAGCTGTGAGAAAAAATTTCTGTTGTTTAAAGCCACCCAGTCTGTGGTATTTTGTTATTGCAGCCTAAGCAGGCTAAGACAGAAGTGTTATCTACAGTATAAGCCTGAGTTTTAAGCCCAGCAGCACATGCCTAAATATATATTTATAGACCTGCTATTTTTACTATTTATCCTTGGAAAAGGTCATGTCTTTGCTTATGTAGCCATAAATTTAAGAATAGTATTTTAAAACAGTATTATTCGCTACAGAAAAAACGTCAGTGGGCACTTTTTCCCCCTATAAACAGAAGATAGAGTCTCTGCTGACCGAAGAAATTTTAAATTTAAATAACCAATATAATGCCAACTTGTGTTTTGTGCTTTCTCTTTCAGGAGGATGCCACTCAAACCTGCCGAGTAGCTGTTAAATAATAGAGCCTACCATGGAAGGATTTCTGTTGCATGGAAGCAGTCCCAGGAGGGATGTGACTGTTAGAGGCTATGTTTTGGCAGTGAGAATCAGATGTTATTCTACAGTTTCCCCCCTTCCCTTCACCTTTCTACCTTCCACACACATCCTGCAAAAAAAGGTCTTTAGAAAAAAAGTCTAACAGGGGCGCCCGGGTGGCTCCGTCAGTTAAGCGTCCATCTTTGGCTCAGGTCATGATCTAGTGGTTTGTGAGTTCGAGCCCTGGGTTGGGCTCCGTGCTGACAGCTCAGAGCCTGGAGCCTGCTTCGGATTCTGTCTCCCTCTCTCTCTGCCCCTCCCCTGCTCACACTCTGTCTGTCTCTCTCTGAAAAATAAACTTACAAAAATTAAAAAAAAAAGGAAAAGAAATAAAAAAGAAAAAAGTCTAACAGCACCCAAACACTACTAATATTTTTTTAAAGTAAGCTCTGTGTCCAGCGTGGGGGTCGAATTCACAACCCCGAGATCAAGAGTCATGTGCTATACTGACTGAGCCAGCCAGGGGCTCCTATTAATAATATTTGTTTCACATTTACCAATGTCTTATGTACCTAAAGCCAAGGGAATTTACATGTTCACCAAATGTCTGCCTAGGTGTTGACATGTTTGAAAGTAGTAAGTCTTCCATCCACAAAGCGCAGGACGGTTTTCAAAATGCTAGCATACTCGTTAGCTTCAGGACTTAAACCTTAAGAGCTGTCTGAAGCTGTCTGAAAACTAGGCTCTGAAAAATAAGTGGCAGGAAGACAGGGTTCCAGGAACACCAAGCCTCGTCGAGTGTACTGGCTACGGGAACGTAACAGACACAAAATTCCCCGAGCCCAGAGTAGCTAACAGGAAGAAAGCACCAAAATAAATCTCACAAATGGAAAAAGTCAAATGTGCCTGCCGTTTCTGTTTTTGGAGCTCTTACTTCCTGCATTCAGTGACACAGACTAGTTGCCATAGTTATTGTGCAATTCCTCAAGTGAAGAATAGGTCATTTAAAACTTACTAGCTTTGTAATAGCATAGACTGGTGGTTTGCAAACTTTTTTGGCCTCAGGACTCCTTGACCCTCTTAAAACGATCTTAAAAACTGTTGAGGACTCTGGAGAGCTTTTGTTGATGCGACTTCTATCTGTCCATTTTTGCTACGTTAGAAAATAAAATTGAAGAAATTTTAAGTATTTTATCAATTTATCAAAAACTAATATACTGGTCTCACGTTAAACTAAACATCTCAGGGCGCCTGGGTGGTTCAGTCGGTTAAGTGTCCGACTTCAGCTCAGGTCATGATCTCACGGTTTGTGGGTTTGAGTCCCTCATTGGGCGGGCTCTGTGCTGACAGCTCAAAGCCTGGAGTCTGCTTCGGATTCTGTGTCTCCCTCTTTCTCTGCCCCTTCCTCACCCTCTCTCTCTCTCTCAAAAATAAATAAACGTTAAAAAAATTGTTTTAACTAAATATCTCATTGTCATTACAACATAACTATGTTTTCCCAAACAAAACAAAACTTGGTGAGAACATTGGCATTGTTTTATGGCTTTAGAAATCTCTTGCACATCTGGCTTCAGAGATGGCTGTATTCTCCTAGAAGGCTTCTGCCTTCTGGCTGTGGCGATATCACTCACATAGCTCTGGGAAACTGCAAGCCCTGGAAGAATGGAAGTGAAAAAGTCAAATGATGGGTTCATTTTTTTTTTAATTTTTTAACGTTTATTTATTTTTGAGACAGAGAGAGACAGAGCGTGAACAGGGGAGGGGCAGAGAGAGAGGGAGACACAGAATCTGAAACAGGCTCCAGGCTCTGAGCAGTCAGCATAGAGCCCAACGCGGGGCTTGAACTCACGGACCTCGAGATCATGACCTGAGCTGAAGTCGGACACTTAACCGACCGAGCCACCCAGGCGCCCCTGGGTTCATATTTTTAATGTTTATTTTATTTATTTTGAAATGGCAGGGGAGAGGGGCAGAGACAAGGGGGAGAGAGAGAATCCCAAGCAAGCTCTGAGCTCTCAGCGCAGAGCCCAGCGTGGGGCTCAATCCCACCAACCTTGAGATCATGACCTGAGCCGAAATCAAGAGTCAGATGCTCAACTGACTGAGCCACCCAGGTGGCTCACCCACCACCTGGCTGAACACCTAATGTATTCATGTTTTTTTTTTATCAAAATAGTCTTTGATCTTCAAGTCTGTCTGAAAGGATTTCCAGTGTCACTGGGCTGTACTTTGAGAACCAGTAGAATGAACAACAGCAAACCCCTTAATTTTAAAAACACATGTTTTTAAGAATATGATATTTATTTTCCTTTATATATACAATAAACTAGACTATACTATATTGGATATATCCCTTCTAATAGGATCAGCTGAGTATTCTAGTTCTTGTCTTTCCCTTGGCTTTACAGATAATCCAGAGCCAGGAAATTCTAAACAATGAACAAGGACTCCAACCCATAGAGTCTCAGTGAGGATCCCCCGGTGAGGGCCGTGATTACCCCAGGGACTATTGCTTTTTGTGCAAACACCAAACAATTACAGGAGTACACGAATGCAAAAGTGGGTTCCCTAATTAATGTGAATTCAACCAGGCACACTTAATCTTTGTACTGTGAGTTCTAACAAGTAAGATTCAATTAGGATGTCAACAGATGTGGAGACGAGAGGCTGTCCCCAACTCTCGGACGTTGGGTGCCCCAAAGAGAGGGGCAGACCTCCATATGGTGGCCAATCAGAGGCAAGAGAGGGCCTCTTCGTCTAGAGCAGCAACACCTGTTCTAGAGAAGGTTCTTCCACCTTCTCAGATCTATCTCTGACGATGTGGGGCAGGGAAAGCTCTGAGCGCTGCCTCCATATTACCCATCCAGTGAGAAGGGCATTCAATGTTTTGCCACATGCCACAACTGGGAAACACTCAAATGCACCATTACTTAATAGAGCAATTTAGAATGTACTGTCTTGGCGGCGCCTGGGTGGCGCAGTCAGTTAAGCATCCAACTTCAGC